GATAAATTTGCAATTTCAAACACTACTACGAGAGGGTAGGATGCGATTGCGCCTCGTATCCGCGCATCGTGTCACGTGCGGTCCGATCAACCTCAAACACTTTTTTCCATTCTCTCACTACGCGGTCATTACGTTTCACGTCTCTCTCGGTGTTAGTTGTATGGTTATACAGCTTTGTTTGTCGCAATATCAATCAGCAAACTCGCCGATTGTGAACTGCTCTCAGAAACTCGGTTTCTAGACCCAAAAAAGTTCCTCCTGCTGAAAGTCAACAGCTTTTTTAATTAACGCTATTCTGCTATTCAAAACTGCAGCCGGAAACCTGCTTTCTATCGGCGTTGTTCTGCTTCACGACAACGCTCGGCCTCACTTTGCGACAAGGGCACAGAAGCAACTGGATAAGTTTTCTTGGAAATTGTTAGATCATCCACGATACAGCCCTGACTTACATAACATCATCCGACTTTCACAAAACATACAGAATTTCTTGTTGGAAAGCAATTGAGAAATGATAACATATTGAAAGAAACAGTTACTAACTGGCTTAGCGGTCAGACGGTCTTTGACGACAACAACCAAAAGCTGATGCCGGACTTGACAAATGTTCAAATGTTTATGTTAGCTATGTTGAAAAATAGTTGTAGTTCATATTGTAGGTTGTGATACAATCTACGTTCATAAAAAAAGTTTATCTGATTCCGTTACAAAACGGTTTTTATGTAAAAGGTGAGCCCTATATTTTCACTATAGTTGTAAGGCAGATATAGGTTTTTATATCAGGTAATTTTAAGACAGACAGTACATATGTGTGTGGAGAAAGTCACTGTTATCAACAATATTTTTTCTTCCTCCGTGTAAAACTATCAGAGCTCATACTGTTACTGCTTATGTAGTTTATATCGCGTCGATAGGATTTTGAGTCGATTGCTTTATGTGCTCCACAACTTCAACTGTTTAGCGAGTATTTCAGTGTGTAGTTTGTTTGTAGCTATTTTTGTTATTTTGAAGCAGGGGGTTAGTATATTTGACACATTGGTAAGTTATAAACTGATATGCAAATGACTCTGCATGCGGAAAATGAAAAAGACTTATACTTTGCGTTTTTATCGAAATTTGATAAACATATTGCTGCAAAAGGGATATGAAACAGCCGAACTTGGGAGGTAAAATAATGAAAGCTCCAGTTGAGCTGAGATGATCATTGTCAAGACATCTTTAAGCCGTAACTTGGCTAAAAGCCTCAAGTCGTGAATAAACCAGGATCTCAAATATTTATTCTATCTGATAACTAAGGAATGATTCAAGTATCACGTAAGCACTAAAAGTGGGTCTTCACTTTGATTACTTTAGATGACATGGCGGTTGGGGTGATAACATTAGCAATCAGATCAGTAGATCTTCCTGATTTTCCAGACGTTAAATGGTATTCAGGACATGTGCGTGAAAGCCAATACTTCAAATTGTAAAACGTACCAAAATATTTACGTAAGCGAGGGAGAAGGGGGTAAGAGACTTGCAGACAATAATTGTTAAAAAATCTGCTTAAGTAATACTAGAACGGCCTCTAATGCGCTGGAAATCTAAGGCTCTCAACAAAAACATAAAAATGAAATTTTTTGACATGTCACTTTACGCGTTTCTGTAACCTCAACAATTCAACCATAAATAATGAGTCGTAGTTTCTTATCAACAGAAATTGCGGCAGTTACCACATATTTTCTGGTCAACAACAGCGTTTATAACTGCTTTTGAGTTACTCTCAAACATACATTTTTTAGCTGTAATATTCCAGATCGATAAACATATTCTCTTTCACAGACGATTCCCATTTGGCCCTGTTTGGCCAAACTAGTATCATAAAACAAAATATTTACGTGTTCTTTCAATTTCATCAGTAATTGTAGATATAAACAAACGTTGATCCTAAAAAACAATACCTAGAAGACTCCATTGAAAAAACTATAAAGGAATTATAATTTCTATTGATGATTAGAAATTAGTGTAATGGATTCCGACCTTTATACCTACGTATATCGTACAAATGTAGAGAAGTGATCAAAAAGAGAAAATATCTGGCTATACAAGTTACGAAATGTAGCTAAAATTTGTATGTTCTTTAACTTACAAAGATCCGTAAATGATTTCACGATTACGAGCATAAAATGGTACAACAGATTAACTAACAATTTGCTTTCGATTTGTTAAATAATCTATTCCGGTTTTTTACATCCTCTTGTTTAAGTTACGCTTCTATCTGCGGTTTTTGGTCCATCGTAACGACTCAGCCTTTGTTGGGGCCGTAATTTGTTAAATAATTTAATTTTGATCTCAATCCAGTATCTATAGAGGAAGTACCGAAGAAATGTAATACAAAATAACAGATTCTATAAAGCAATATGATGATAAGCGAAATTATTTTCAGTTGAATATCGATAGAAATAATGAGGAATTCTAGAGTATTGCATGAAATGTCTAAATTGGTATTGAAATAAAGGACAATAAAGTATAATAAAACCTAAAAGCAAATTGCTAGATGCTTAGCAGGTTTTTGCAGAGTTGAGGGAATGCACTGACGATATCGCGAGGGGTAAACATTTTGTGATTTACTGTGTACAACCCCAAAGAGTCACACTCATTTACTAATGATTTACGAGTATTTATCAGTAATTTAGGATGATTTACAGATGAGTCCCACAAATAGCGTTTGCGCATATCATCCCATGCTAGCAACCTGTATTGCCAGACTGAGCGATCAGTCCCAAATGGGAATGTTTCCACCTTGCTAGATACTACATTTCAGTTTACATGGAAGAATGCTTGAGATCCATAAAGTATCATTATCCGAGTCAAGAGCCTAAGGTGAATTACGCGAATATGTTTCCTTGTTTTTGGCGGCGTTCAGATGCGCATAGAATGGAATAAGCCTATATTAATTCAAATTCACCCGGCTCTAGGTCGGCATAACCTAAGGCACAGTGGAAGGCGATAATTTTCGATGTTTGCCATTATGTGGAATATACACTGTGAGTCGCAAGAAATGTCTTTATTTCCGTCGGTGATCCGTAAGTCTGTCCACCTGTCCGTCCCTTTATAGTCTGGAAAGTATCGGTCGCATTTGATGTCACAAGATTTAGATTATTTTTATAATCTATAGTCATCACTAGTAAGACTTGAATGAAAGAAAGATTTAAAGGAATGTACTAGGATTTATGGAATTTATGTATTAAAAAGGATTTATGCTGAACAAAATTTTGAGCTGATATTTACTCCTCGGGATGTCGTTAAAAAGATTTTATGCAAATAAGCCTGATCTAGTGAGTCCAAGTAGAACCAATGACTCGATATTTCATAGAACATCAGTGGTGAATCTAAGCTCTACAAAGTCCGAGGCAGAAATTTTGTAGAGGGTCTCTTAAAAGCCGACAAACTGGGGAGAGAGAGGGGAGCGTCCCATGCATTGAATGTCGTGTCGTATGCGTTCTCTGTAGAGCATCATGATGTTTTAATAGATTTTGGAGGATTAGAGTAAAACTGCTCGTATCACTTGTATACATCCATCTCCCTACATACAAGTGCAATTTGCATCAGTGCGCGGAGATTTACTTCTGAAGGCTCAAGGTCTTCCACATCTACTCGTATGCTTGTCACTATTAGTGTGACAGTTGGGTGCGATTTGGGCTTACCTGTTGCAGCTCTTCGGTATAAAGCAGCCATGATCAAAAATGCAACTAGCCGAAAATTTGAAGGAATTGACGAGATTACTAGTCTAGAGAGCAAACAAATATCATTCCGCCACTTTTTCTCCACATTCAAATCGCTTTATTGTACTAGAGAATCATCATTCCTTGTGGGAGTCGTATTCATGTATTCTAGAAAGTGCCTTGTTCCTACGTTTTTTAGTTTTCGCGTTGTAATTTTTCGATAAAATGAATGAAATGAAATAAAAATTATTTTCAGTGAGTTGTCGTTTTCGTATACTTTTTTCGTTGTTTGTTCTCCGGTGTAATCCAATTAATGATTCAGCGTCAATAACAATCGTCTATTTATCCGCAAGCCGCACCGTAGCGTCTCCAATCGATTAACCTTGAGAAATCGATGAACCCTGTTAAAGACGATGCGATGGCTCGAGGTTTGTTTTTGTTTTTATCTGTCGCACAAAACACGCAGTGCAATGCAGGGAAAAATGTGCAAAATGCAAAACTTATCTGAAAAATATAATATTGTATTGCTTCATATGCAACCAAATCATCAAAAAATGATGATGATATAAACGTTAATCAATGCTATTTTGTGCTTTATTTTACGAAAAATATTTTTTATTTTTCATAATTTCAATGGGATTCTGTTTGTTCCAATATTCCGTGATATTGAGAAAAAGTTAAGCTGTATCGCTTCATATCGTCGCTGATCTGACAAATGGGCGTAAGCGACACAATCTCTAAATAGGAGATAAACCACTGAGAAACTCTCGAGGGGTATACCTATGTTCTGACAAATGAACGTATCTCCATCGCTCATACCACGGAGTATACATCATAGTCAGTAAGGACGGAAGCGACATCAATGGAAGATAGGGAATCTGGCTAAGACGCGTAAATCCATAAATGGACATACGCCTGTTCGTCACATCATCTATTGCGCTTTAGTGTCGCTTTCGCCCGTAGTATGTAACTGTGATGACCATAGCCACCTACATATATCTAAAGTAGTTCTAGGTGGCTTTGGTGATAACCGATACTGTTGCGCCATCTCCTGCATGTTTACGGGTTTTATAGAACGTCTCGGTATCCCCAGTTATCATAACAGAAACAAAAAGCCTTCAGTTACAGAGGGAGTTCGTTGCGCGTCATGTTACAGCTCACAATATTAAAAGAAAGCGAACAAGCAACACTGTTTCACGTAGAACAAGAACATTTACTTATCGTCTTTCGAATGCAAATACATCAACAACTGTTTGTAAAACTACGTTTTTAAACACGCTCGGAATTTCTGAAAAAACCATGCGGACGGCGCTAAATAAATTAAATGATGAAGGGATAGTACGTCCTGATGCACGTGGTGGTCGACACGCCAGTTTGCGTGAAAAAGATAGCGCTACTCGGTCTGCTGCCCATATTCAACTATTTCCTCGGATGGAATCACACTTTTGCAGACAGTCCACCACCAGGGAGTATTTGCACCCAGATCTGACTATTAAGAAAATGTATTATTTTTATGTGCAAGAGGGACGTCAGCCAGAGTGTAGTTATTACACCTATCGAAGCGTATTCAAGTCATTGAATCTTTCTTTCCATCACCCAAAGAAAGGCCAGTGTAGCCTTTGTTCGTCCTATAAAGAAGGCAGCACGGAAACGAAGGCCAAACTCGAAGATTCTTTTGCTGCACACATTGCAGAGAAGGACTCTGTGCGAAAGAAGAAAAAAGATGCTAAAGAATCATCACAAGAAAACCCTGAAGTAATAGCTAGTGCTGTATTCGACCTGCAACAGGTAATTTCGCTTCCAAGAAGCAATGAAAGTGGAATTTTTTATAGCCGTCGTCTATCAGTGTTCAACTTTACGATTTACAACCTAGGAAATAAAAACTGCTTGTGTTATCTTTAGAATGAAATTAATAGTAAACGAGGGTCCAACGAAATATCAACATTCGTGGCAAACTCCCTTATTCAGCTGGATACCCAGGGAATAAAAGAAGTGAGACTATTTGCAGATGGTTGTGGTGGCCAAAATAAGAACACAATTGTTTTAGCCATGTTGCTGCACACCATAACCAATACCAAAAACATTAAAAAATATCATTATCTTTCTTTGAAACAAGTCACGGCCAAAGCGAGGGCGACTCTGCCCACAGTTCTATTTCGACAGCTTTAGCCTTAGCAGGAGATGTCTTTATTCCTGCTCAGCTTCCTCCTATTCTTAAATTGGCAAGACGGAATTCTCCATACACTGTCATCCCTATGGATAATGCTGACTTTCTGGATTACAAGTTTGTGGCTGAACAACCCCGCATTCGACAACTGAGAAAATTTGACACGGGGGAAAATGTTAATTTCACCGCAATCAAGGAAGTTATGGTAAAGAAAGATGTTCCACATCTTGCTGATCAGTATAACACATTATCTCTTAAAAGAAACACTCTTGAAGTCCTGAAACAGCCGGTACGTAGACTTAATAATGGTCCAATTAAATTAGACAGCCTGAAATACGAAAACCTTGTTGAGCTATGTACTGGACCTACACCCATAGTGCGAGATCTAACGTTTCAACAATATTTCAAGAACCTCCCGCATCATTAAACACCTCAGTTTTTTATAATTTGCATACATCCTCTGTTTAATTTCTATATTTTGAAGTTTTCTTTGTTTAAATAAAAATGTCGTTAATGATAGGAACCGTTGTGTATGTTTAAAATTACTAATGAAAAATGGCGTAAGTGACATACCTCTGTAAAGTAACTCTGACGAACGGGCGTATGTCCAAAGTGGCCATTTTGTAGGACAATATCGTGCGAGCTTTGCAATCACGTTATGACAGATTGAAAGTGTCCCTGATGATTCACTTTGATACAAAATTGTAAAAAAATATCGTTGCTAGTTACAGAATCATCAACTCATCTAAGATACATATTTTCCTAAAATCGCTCTACTGTAAAATTATGTTATTGGCGCTTACGTCCATTTGTCAGAACAGCGACGATATAACATACTATGAGAAAGATCAGATCAATTTTTCCAATGTTTTTAAATTACATTATTGTCAAACTGTCCCATAAAATCGTTTGGAAATTCGCGAAGTTCTGCAAACTTGAACCATTCGAAAACCAAATTATCTTTCATAAAGAGTGCGCTATCTTTTGACAACGTGGAAACTATTTGTATAGGAAGATAATGCATAAAAATAAATGTGAAAAAAACAAGAAAATTAAGAGATTTAATGAGTTGCCCTTCATTATTCAAAGCATCAAGCATTCGAGTGGCTTGTATGGAAATTGTGGTATCAGCAAAGAGTGTGTAAATGGCATTGTTGTTACATGTAGGTAAGTCATTGATGTACATCAAAAAAAGTAAGGGGCCAAGGACTAAGCCCTGTGGCACCCCTACTTTCAAGTCTCTCTCTATGGTGACACGACATCCCTAAGTGGCACACTCTGGTGTCGGTTTTCAATATATAATCTGAACACCTGTATGCTGGAATTGGAAAATTTATATGCCAGCTTTTGAAGCAAGATTGTATGTGACACACAACGAAGGCTTTGCTTAAGTCCACAAATAATGATGCGATATGCTCTCGATCTTCGAATGCTTCCGTAATATTTGAGAGCAGGTCCAGTACCGCAAGAATAGTGTCTTTGTTTTTTCGAAAGCCAAACTGATGCTCAGAGAAGAGGAAATCCTCTTCAAAGTATTCAGTAATCCTTACCTCCATGCATTTTTCAAAGATTTTCGAGAGGATTGGCAGTAGAGACACTGGACGGTAGTTGGAAATATCTCCCTCATCGCCTTTCTTGAAAATGGAAATGACTATTGCGATTTTTAAAACGTCAGGAAATATATTTTCTCGAAGGCATAGATTTATCAGCTTAGTCAAAGGAGGCATTATCATGTTCTTTATAGATTTTATACGTTGAGCCGATAATATGTATATAGTATGTATCAGTGCTTTAGTTGTTTTTGAGTTAATTTATATGATCTCTAATTTCATTTTGCTTGACCTCCTTGGACTGAAATGTTGCATTCGGCATCAACATTTTTTTAAGTTATCTAATGGTGAAACATCACCGTCAGGTAATTTGTTAGTATTGTATCTGAAATGCTACTAAAGAATTTATTAAATTGATCAGCTGTCATTGGAATCTTTTTTTGATGTAATTTTCCCCTTTTCCTCCTACTGTTTATTATGTTATACATCCATCTAGTTGAGTTCTTTGATGTCTTTATCATTATATCATTCAATTTACGTTTTGTGATGATAATTTCCCATTTATATCGTTTTTGATATTCCTTAAAAAAAACTTTGTTACTTGGAGTTTCGTACTGCTTACATACTTCTCCCAGAAAATGAACTGTGTCCCTCATATTTTTGAAGCCCTCATCAAACCAGTGTACACACCGCTGGCTTGAGATACGAGTTTTGTCTTTTCGGAAAGATAGGCTTCAGTCAGAATATCCTGAAAAATAGAAAATTTGTCATTTGCAGATATAATGTTGAACAAAGTGCCAATTATTAGACTCGATTCTACTGTAAAATTCTAGTAAGCCTTTTTGTGTGCTCTCTAAATTAAAGTAGACCAGCTGCCCCAAATGGTCAGATACATCAATATTTTTTTAAAAAATCACACGTTCGAGTTCTGAATACGCTGTAATTTTCTTTGTTGAACTACATGATAGAGCGGGGCTATATATCATGTCGCAATAACTGATTTTTGACATGATTAATGTTTTAGTTCTCTGTCAATCCAGAATCCAAAGCTTTTACACTCACTCATTACATTAAGAAACCGGTTATCATAGACCTTAATGTTAATTTTTGTTTCTATAGACGTTACTTGTGAGCCGAAAACCGTGAATGAAGATTTAGATGGAATAATTTTCAGGTTATGCAAGCACGATAAGTCCACTAATCTTCCTTGATTGAAGCCTCAGCGATTTTAAAATCTTTGAGTTGAAAACTAAAATAAATTTGAGTAACAACGACATAGTGATGGATGATTGTACAATGATGGACATTTTGATGGAAATCTGATATATCCGGAGAAAAAAGTAAAGGACCCAATATGGAACCCTGAGGAACACCTTACTTTATAGCAGTTGATTCCGACATTTTCGAAACTGATAGGACCTTATCATTTCTATTTGACAAATAAGCGTAACAAATTGATTGCAGCGTGAGCAAAACCATAGTAAGACAGCTTAAGTAGCAAAATTTCAGGGTCTATCTTATCGAAAGCTTTTGTGTAATTGAGCAAAGAAAACAAATTGACAAAAGCTTTAAAAATGCGGGAAATATGCTGACTGGTCTAAGCTGCGTTACAGATGTAGGAATCGGTACTTCAGGAATAGGTACGACGATAGCCTGTTTCCGTAATAAATGTAATGTGGTCTAAAGAATGGATAATCAAATAAACTATATGGTTGCCTAATCTCTTAACAACAATTTCTGTCAGTCTGTCTGTCTGGGCAGCCGCTAATCCTTGGCCCAGCTATAGGTTACTACTATGCTAAGCACAAACAAATTTTGTAGTCTTTGAAAATGCTTCTAGTGGCAGAGAAGAAAAACGAATTTTTGCAGGGTAAAAAATTCAATGTTGAAGGTTATAGGCGGTGGGAATTTTGTTGGAGCTAGTAATTTATACGTTTACAACCCCGGTAATTCTGCCCACCTATTAGCCATATTTAATACATTATAGACTTCCCGGTAGGATCTGGCCAGTTGATCATTGACCAGTGCCAATAACAGAACAAAAAAAAAGACTTCCCGGCACATTTGCCCTTAAAACTTAACTAACGCATGTCTGTATGCTTTGAATGCTGGAGGGTAACTTAATGATGATGCGAGTATTCGTGTATGCCATACCGAGCTGGATTGCCACGTTATTGGCTACTCGGTACTTTCGGTAGGGCGTAGGACTATGAACTATAAGCCTGTTTTACTGATATAATCCATTTGATTCCTTTAATATATATATATATATATATATATATATATATATATATATATATGTATTTAATATTATCCTTTATGAATTGATGTAAGAAGTGCAGGGTCAACCTACTTGACGCCATTTGTAACTCACTAATCTCTTTAATGCAATTCCTGTATTAAAGTAGATTGGAGATTGACATCTACCACTTTAAATGATATTCTCTACCGCATAATACTGTTGATCGACTCATTCAAGAAACAAAAGCATTTAAAAACGTTTGTAACTACACATGCTGACATTGAGCTACGACACGCGTTCAATTTTAGATGTTCATTTAAGCACTTGAGGTCCTAAAGACCCCTAGTTTAAAGTGGTTCCATTAGCGTCGGTGTGAGGAATTATTGAAGAGCTTATACGGCCAGGCGCTATTCGGTGGCAGGCAGTATTTTGACACTGTTGACATATACGCATGTGCAGATTGTGTCACTATCAATGAAAATAGTGACAGCCTCTAATTAGAGAGGAACCAAAACTGGCACAGTCATGTCCTTATCACAACTTTGACAATCTTCACAGATGTCATCACTATCAATATCACTTTTTTAAGTTGATGGTTGTATTTTGGATCATTTTTGATATTTGATTTTGATTCTCATCTTCCCACATGGTTTTAATTTTCAAACTTATGACGAGGGTTTGTACTGTTTGTGCCATTTGGGTACAGAGTATAGTATAGAGCTGACAACTATCACTGAGCGACACACTACGGGTAAGGCCGTGTCTAACCATGAAAGCAATATTTATTGTATCTTTACATCAAATTAGTGTCAGGCACAATCGGCCTATTAGTGTCTGGCCTTATGGAGAGGTTCAACAGTTCTCTATTATCGCCTTCATCATTACTCATAACATTCGTTATGTAATTATTATCTTTATTATTCTCCTACAATCATAATTTAGTTTTACATTAATTATATGGAATTTCACAAATTTTGTTTAGTATCCGTTATTTTCCATAGTGTATACTTATTTTTTTGCCTAAACAAAGAAAAAGGGAGGTATAGTGGGCAACATGTTCCCTATTATCAATTTATCAGGTAAAATTATAGTTGTAATATTGCTCTTTGTAGTTAAGCAATATATCTCTGCAAAATAGTTGAAAAAGCTTTAAGATCATGACATTTGGAAACAGAAATTAACCCCCTTTTCAACAGTCTTGTTCATTCATGGCTACACCATAGCCCGCATATCCATGTAGGGTAATTACAAATCTGTGCAGTTGATGATGAGTAATGTAAAAAAAGCATTTCTTGTGGATACAAAGCAAGTGCAAAAATTAGCTGGCAGCCTTTATACTGGAGATTGGATACATACCCAGTTATATGAGATATATCCGTTCTAGATTGGTAAGCGCGAACAGTTTATGTCTTATGAATGCTCTTTATATGCTTCTTAGAAAATTCGCAAACAAACGTTACTGATCTGTATTCCTGGGTCAAATTCGAAGCATTTTCCAACATGTGATACCCAATTATTAAGTTTAGTACTGCCACTGAGCCTGGTGTACTTGACAAGGCCCCTTCTGCACCATCGAGCTTCCATTCGATCGGCACAGATGTCGCTTCCTATATTATACACGCGCTTAGTTGAGCGTACGCTCTACGACTCGGTTGCGGCCAATGTGACTTAGTCGATCTTCACCTGTTTGTAGAGAGGAGACGTTGACGCGCACGAGGACGAACTACGCGTACGCGCACATTCGTTTGTTTACACGCATCGCTGAACACCTGTTGCTCCAGTATAGTGTGCTTGCTGTGACAGAGTCAGTGCGCGCCGCGTTTTTTGTTTGCTCGAGATTACTCCGGTTTTGGCGGCAACCGGATCACAAAGATTGGATAAAATGGCGGGCAACTTGAAGATGCACAAGACGACGTATGTATAGTTATACTTTGCGTTTTTATCGAAATTTGATAAGCTTATTGCTGCAAAAGGGATATGAAACAGCCGAACTTGGGAGGTAAAACAATGAAAGCTCCAGTTGAGCTGAGATGATCATTGTCAAGACATCTTTAAGCCGTAACTTGGCTAAAAGCCTCAAGTCGTGAATAAACCAGGATCTCAAATATTTATTCTATTTGATAACTAAGGAATGATTCAAGTATCACGTAAGCACTAAAAGTGGGTCTTCACTTTGATTACTCTAGATGACATGGCGGTTGGGGTGATAACATTAGCAATCAAATCAGTAGATCTTCCTGATTTTCCAGACGTTAAATGGTATTCAGGACATGTCCGTGAAAGCCAATACTTCAAATTGTAAAACGTACCAAAATATTTCAATTTTTATTTGCTTTCTGAAAATATTTGAGACTCTTTTCCACGCCTTACCAAATGTCCATCTGCCTGTCCACGATTAAAGACTGATTCTCTAAGTTTTCCAATTACCGCAATATATGAATAGTGCAACAGTACAATGATTAGGCAACTAAACTTACCATGAAATGTAAATGATCTGCAATTTTATAACTTTGATCATCAGTAGATAATGCGTCAATGCATAATTAAAGCTTATTTATAAATGGAAGTCATGTTCGCAATTATCAATCAATTTTCCTAACCACGACACGTTTAATTTCCCCCATCATAGTATTTCCATTTGTTTTCCTCTTCTAGCTAAGTGACTCTATTATGTAACAAAATTAATACAGGTACAATGATAAAGCAACGTTGCTTTGTGCTTATTAACCTTTTAAAGGAATGTGGCTGTAAATTATTCAAACAAGCTCACGTGGATTCTGTATGATTTTGTTCGTTTTTAGAACGTTTGTGGGTTTAGGATGCTTCTCGATAGAGATGCGTCTTTTGAACATCAAGGTCAGAAATAAACGATATTTTTAAAGCATGAAATGTCAATATAAATCAATCTTAGTGATAGGTATATATGATATAAAATGAAGAAATTTGACAGGAGTCAGGAGATCAATTGAGGTAGCTTCTATGATATTTGCCAGTTTGACTTGTTGGCATCATGCTTTCAATGTCTATTGGCAAGTCCGAGGAAAACGGTCTGTGCTATCTCATGTTGTCTTAAAAATCTCGAACCTCGGTATGTTTTGATTCACCGTTTCTTACTTTGTAAAAGTGTGGTCTGAATAGACAACGGCCAGTCAAAAAGACGAACATTTCACCCAGTTTCTTAATGCGGTTGCTGTGTTTGTAACTGTGTCAGCGGTCTTCTGAACTGAGTGTTCTCTACTACTCTGCCCAACTTTTCATCGTGTTCACTTGACACTCATCTGGCGGCAGTGGGCGGCAGTCTTCACCAAACCCTTTGAGGGAAACCTTTGAAACATCTCTTTTGCTTTCTATGGCCCGCCTATATGTGTTCGTGCATGATGTAACCGACCATTGGCTTCGTTATCCTTAACTTTTAGTTACAGGTCATTGTTCCAGTTTCATCCCACATTTTCCTTAACTTAACTGCTGTTTTCCTTATTACCTTTGTCTAAGCAAATTATCGTCATAACTTTATATTACGCACATGACCAGTTTTGTGTATATGCTATCAAATATTCAGTTTGTCCCAGTGGTAGCCTTGGAGATATATTTGCAATTGCAGTCATGATCATATATGTGTCTGTGGCAATTTATTATATCGTGGGTATCATTTACAACGGCAATAATTAATGAGTAGAGTAATTGTAAAGCGTAGTTTGGTGTTTTGCGTTTGACGTCTCTGTATATTTGATTATCCAAGTACATACCTCAATATATCCATATTGGGCTACTCACATCAACTTATTAGCTCTTTTCTGTTTATCGTTTTCCTTTACACGGTGATTGTATATTAATTATTCATCATTTAATCTTAAATACTTCTGAGGACACAAATAGGAGATCAAATCTTATCTTTGTATAGATCATAGGATTGAAGGAAATATGTTTGTCTCTAGAACTAATGAGGAGTTGAAGGTGCCTAAGCGTATGGCGCCAAAAGAAACACAGTTCCATGGGCGCCCATAGGAGGGAAGGAGCGTAAAGCGTAAAGCTTGGGGAGTAAACAATTCTTAATAGATCATCCATTTCTTGGACTTTTCAAAACATCCATACATAGAACTGTTTTTCCCATCACTTTGAACATCTGACAACTACGCTTCAATCTATTTAACTGGGCCTGTAAGCCTGTAGGATGCTGACAAATTTCATGCATTTGATATTTAGGAAAGATTTTAGTACACATTCTAGAAAAAATCGCGTCACTCTACATTTGCCACGCAACGCCGTCATCAGTTCATAAACGTTCAGCACAAGCTACACCCGATCGAAATAAGTCAGCGCCATAGACCTTATATCCTGGACAGAAGATAATTGCTAAGCTTTCGTTCGTTGTCCCAGAGACCATACTGATGAGTTGCCGACAAAGCACTTTGGTCGGACTGACGAAAGCTGCATGTTCAAGGTAGACCTTCTGAGGAAAAAGTTAGTCAATGTATACCAGAGAAATTAAACGGTCAGGTCCGTACAATCAATCCATAACATTATTTCACTGTGCTACCCATCTGGCAACGTCACGTCGCCTCTTTGCAATACCTAAATGCACGACGCGTCAGATGCTCCTTCAGAGCACCAGCTATGATAGCACACATATGAACAGCAGCACGCCGACCATTCAAGTCAGCAGCAGACACATGGACGCTTGTCAAAAACATTTTTCTATCTTCTCTTCCCTTATCTTAAGGGTAAATGTATTAGAAAATGTATGATGTGCGAAATATGTCTACACATCTAATGAGTGCGTAGAATTACTGGGGCTAGAAGTGTATTAACATGGTAAGTTAAAAAATAGCGATATAAAAATGATCCTCTGAAACATAAAAAAAGAATTAAAAACGGTTTTAACTTTTTCTCGGCCGCCACTATACCGGTTTACAAAATCTACAAAGCTTTTTCGTCCTTGGCATGGTATTAACCTTGTGTGTAAATTTCATCAAAATCTGAGCAAGTTATTGGCGGTCCCAGGCCTATCGGACAGACATATGTACCATAAGACATACCGACAAATAGACAGACGGGATTAAGTGTAAGTAAGTTTTTCGTTTACCATATAACATTCAAATTTTCTCTCCAGTGCGGCATGGGAAGTAAAAAACATATAAGATGTTAACATTTGTTAACCATCTCAGTTTTTTAAGTGTTTTTGCAGGCCTCCGTATTGCTTTGCAGGTTCTAGACTTGTAGCGAAATAGAAACTGCATATAAACATTCAGTATTCGCAAAGAAGTCTATCATGTGTGAAATACGTAATATGCCAGAGTTCTACATTGTAAGAACGAACATTCTAAAATCGTAAAAGCGACTGAAGGTAATAAAGATAAAAATGGAAAGAGCAGTGAATGGATTTCGTGAGCAACGTGACTGCAAAGGATTCAGAAAGATAAATTCGTTGGTCTGGTACCATTAAGGGAAATGCCATCACCGTCGAACGTGTAACATGTTCAAGTTTTTTACAGCTTATTTTATCTGGAGAAGCGATTTTCGTGAAGTATATCACATCACAGGTGTACACTGGGAAAATCTGAATTCGTAAAAGGAGTTAAAATCGGCATAAGATACTAAAATTTTATCGGAATCCATACCTAATTGAGAGACTGGATATCTAGGTTAGAAAAGAAAGAAGATGGGGCTCATTTTATTTTAGATTTACAACTTACATGGTTTGTCTAAATGTAGACCTGCAATCCAAGATTCTAGAAATATATATGCTTCAACACCTCGTTACCGGAAATTTCAGCGTATGAAAAATGCACGACATATCAGGCCTCACGAAGCTGTAAGATCAAATGTCACTATTGGTGATGCATACATGTCTTTTTGGACGTGACTCGGTGAAAGCAGATTGCTCAATACCAGTGACGTGGGCATATGAGGTAGACATTAGAAGGTTAGTTTCTACACTCTTGGACTGGCTAACTATTGACTTGAATGCTATTTTACTTCCCTCACCGACGGGCGAGAAAGTATTGTAATCACGAAAAATGAGATACTGTGTTTTTTTTGATACTATATGACATGTACATAACAAAGGGCCATGGAGCTCATTCCTTCGATCTTCTTGTTTTTCTGTCCGCTAATCCTTGCCCGCCTATAACTTTGAACGTATCGCTCGGATTTGGATCAAATGATATATCTTAATTTTTGACGTCAGTATATTTATAGTCCTCCAATCGCAGCAACTCTATGGCTGATTGTCCTTGCGTCGCAGTCGACAGTCGCTTCCATGCTGTTGTGGACTCATTTAATTTTTTGTTGCACATATTCGTAGCTAACCTTTTTCTCAGAAGGGTTAACTTGTGCTAACTTTACGAGCTGAGTCAACTTACCTGACGCCATTTTTAATTCAAATACGGTGAAGCTTGTATACACAGTTTCCCAAATTGACAGGTTTGAAATGGTACTTATGTATAGAAGGTTCAGATAAAAAAATATCGTTTTTCATTTATAGAGGTGGACATTTTAAACATTTTTTGTTGTTATGTTTGTATCTATACATGTCTAAAACCTGGTAAAATGTCTGACTTATGGGGGTTATTATGAGGTGACCTGTCAGGAAATCTATAACATCAAATCACAATTAAAAGGTTTTGTAAATTCCCAGTAACACAGGAATTTAAATGATAGAATAGATCATATGCGAGAACATATGCGGATGATACACAACTAAAATTCAATTTTAAGTGTAGCAACTTCAACTAAATAAGGCTATAATGTAGATTTAGTCTATATTGAAACTATTTGTACGAGGCACTCCCTAAAGATCAATCCTAGCTAGAATAATGTCATTTTGCTTTCTCCTAATAATTTTCCAGTGAATGTTGCTAATGTAATCCAGCTGTCTGTGAATGATACTTTGATACTTTGAAGTAGGTACTTTGCCAGATGGCGAAACTTCAAGGGGTGATTTCTGAAGTAATCCTAAGGGAAAACGTTCATATAAAACCAGGTCCGGAAATGTTTTGTTTCCACGATACAGGTTGTCATTCTTTGAAAACTCGTTTTTTCGTAAAATCTTGATAACCTTCTAGCTGATTTTATCAAATTTTGTTTATAATTAAAAAGTACAGATGAATTGACGAATAAGAAAATAACTTCAATAAACCCAATGCTCTAAAGAAAACATCTATGACTTAAATCCGGTGATCTATATGGTCATGGTAATTTGCTGTTTTAATTAAACATTTTCTTTGACAGTTAATTTGTTTGCGATACATCTATAAAATATGCTATATTTCCCCAAATTTAAAAAGAAAAATGGCCAAAGGACTAACACAATTTTTCCGAAAAAAGTGTTCTATTTTGACGCCTTGTATATCTAAAATAGAGCATTTCAAGACTCTATGTTCAATATATTACGATCTTACCCTTGATTATCATCCCTAAATTGCATACACTTGTCAGCATTATTAAACTACTCTTGTATGACCTAGTATAAGCACTTATGTGTCGGTATCATGGATTTGCAAATACATTTGAATCACTTTTATAAATAACTTTGTTATTTCGCACTGCAAATATCCCATTTTGTGGTCTACATACCGACGCTACTGATGGATGTCTTAGCGCCATACCCGTGAGAGCTTGGGATCCATCTCAGACGAACCGCTGTGCTGGTTGCATCGCCGACAAGTGCTTCCGGTGTGTTCTTACCAGAGAAAAAGAAAACCGCAGTGACTCGTTGACGGTCATTGCCATTGATATTTAAATCAGGTTCAGTTCCAGTGAAATGAGTGAGGTGGTAGGTTTCTTAACCGAATAATTTGTAGTATGCTTTTTTGCCTTCTAAGGCCCACAAGGTTTCCTGAGAGTTTGATACAACTGTTAGATAAAGATAGTGTATCCATGCAGAGCTCGAAGATATTCCTCGCTTCCAATAATAATAATAACTATATTTATTTTCCTCAAAGAAACGTCGTCAACAAACAGTGAAAACTGATCAGGGAATTTCCTCCTCTGAGCCAGTTCCTTCAGGAGTTCCTCAGGGCTCAGTATTAGGTCTCTTACTATATCTGATTTATACGATCGATCTGCAAGACTGTTTAGTCCACTGTAGTATGCAAACTTATGCAGATGATACTCAGTTAGTGTTTGGTTTCGATCCATCAAAGGTTGATGAAGTGTCTTTTAAAGTTAGTTTAGATTTGGCTAACATCGGTGATTACTGTAACAAACACTGCTTGAAGATCAATCCTAATAAAACTACTGCAATGTTGTACTGTTCGAAGAACTCCTACCGTGAAATGAAGCAGAGGATTTGTGTTTTTTTGGATGAGACACTCATCCCTTTTGTGGATTACGCCAAGAATCTCGGTGTTACCCTTGACTTAAATATGAGATTCGATCGGCATGTCTCTTTCTTATCTGCGTTTGAAACTCCTCTATTCTAATCGATACATCTTGAATTTTAAAACCCAAAAAAAGCTCGCTGAAAGTCTTGTGTTGTCTGTCATTTCTTACTCTCTTGTTCTTTATTACCCATGTTTAGACTACGTCCACAAAAGGAAACTCCAGAAAATTCAGAACAGCTGTTGTAGGTTTATTTTTGGATTGCGCAAGTTTAGTCGCGTCTCAGATAAAATCAAAGAACTCAACTGGTTGCGAATTGATAAGTTATTTTTATATCTTTTGACCGTCTTCACGCATAAAGTTCTATTATCTAACAGACCAGCTTACCTCGCTAGCAAATTAGTTCACCGAGGTAGTTTTGTTACCAGAGCTCTTAGATTTAATGCTAATTTTAACATGCCTCCTCACAATACCTCGGTCTTTGAAAGAAGTTACACCTATAATGCTGTCAAGCATTACAATGCAGTCAACAGTGGCTATCGATCCAAACAGGTTGTTTTAAGAAATTAATGAAAAGTCAGCTGCTGGAGTCCATTTAGTTTAGTTTTTCTTGTGTTCATGTGATTTTTTTTTGTTTGACTATTTTCTACTATTTTTGTTTCAAATTTAAAACTCTCGCAAGACTATCTGCATTTGTCTCGTGCAATCAATGTTGTCATTCTTATGAATTGTATTTTTTTTGGTATGTTATTATTTTGTTTATGTGTTTAAGTATTCTTTTTTCTTGTTGTGGGGTTGAGTGCAAGAGTAGCCGTCTGGCTAAACTTCGCCTCACTGCAGCTAATAAAGGCATTATTATTATTATTATTATTATTATTTCTGATACATAAAACATATTTTGAGTTACGAATACATCCAGAACCCCTCACAAGTACAACCCTTATGCGCGGATGCAACAATCAAATGTACTTACATACTGAAATTTTATATAGCTTTAAATAAAAAATACTGCACATAAGTCACGATCAGGGTAGTAGAATTGGCTGGGAAAAAAATTTGTAGAAGGTATAGTTTAAATTATACCACAAAATTTGTGAGAGGTTCTTCTCCTGGCATTGGTTAAGCATTTAGTGGTAACAAAATTGTTCCAATACAGTTTTAGATTTAAGGCAGCAGCGGTGGCCGCAGTGCTAGACGCTTAGGCAATCAGAATTACGCGACCGTGTATGGTCGTGTTTGCAATCGGGAGCGTTTCCGGCTCCGTCGCGAACCTTATCGGAAAGTATCTACCGCCATCGAGAACCATCAAACGTCGTCTAACAAGCTGTCTGGAAGGCTCTGGATTAGTCGATTTGGAATAAATAGATGCTACGACGGCATAATGGCAGAGTCGAGCGGACCGACAGTCAACAACGCGGAATGCCATAGTTCAGTCGAATAGTTATACATTTGTAATGAATCAGTAGCAAGTGTGTTGAAATTAGTCTTTATTCGTCATTGTCTGAACCCTACACCCTGTAGGGTAAATGGGATTTTAGATTATATATATTCTTCATTGTCTGCACAAATTACCGAAATAAAGTATTCTGTGATTTGTGATTGTCTGTCACAGCGGTCCGTAGGACCTTTGCTCTTGGTTAAATTCTTGTAAGTCAGTAGATTGAAATTAGTGTGAGAGTAATAAATTAGATATACTGTGTTTTCGTTACAGTATCCTTTAGTTTGAGTATGGCAATGTATGAGGTGTTAAATAGGTAACCCTGTATCCGCGTGCGAGGGTGTTAATACACCAGCGTTACACTTTATGAAACTACACTGGAATTCCATCCAACCAAGATATCCTCAGGACAATGTTTTGGGAATGTCCTAGCTAAGAAACGATCTAAGGAAATTTCTGGAAACTGCGGGCACAAACATCCGTAAAACGCGGCTGGCAAACGGGCCATTTTAATTACAATTGCTCACTGCTAAACTCTTTAGGTGTATTTAACGTTTATTATAACTATAATGCGAATTTTATGCTTTCACGGCAACGCTTTTAGCACATTATACCGTACGCTTACTACTTAAACAAATGTGTGCACAGTGCATAGGCGGAAATAAGAGGAATACGTATCTCTATACTTGGGTAACAAAATGGCAGAGAGTTGCATAACTCATCGTTTGCCACTGCTACGACGGCATGTCTTTGTATATCTGTATGCCGACCTCACCGCACTTGAAAGACGTACCGCGTTAACAGTGGCGTACGGTGCACTATGCCTCTTCTTGGCACCCGATTATAGTAGATTCCATTATATCGTAATTTTCAGAGGATACCTAGATAGGCGCTCACAGAAAACGTAAGTGGATATGCTGCATCTTGTTTGATTCAACGTGGATTTATGAAGACCCAACGTATGTGTGTGTGTGTGATTTGCTGGTCAAGTACTGCATGGGTTAGATCTTGTTTTTATTCGGAACCGGCAAGTCTGAATGAGGACTGGCACCATTCGCAATTGGTTTTGGATGAATGGTTTGGATTGAAAATCTTCTGTCCATCCAATGAGAAAATTTTATTTACGGCTATGTCACTTTGTACACACGCATAGAGTATGTTTGTTAAGCAAACAAAGAGAAAAATATATTGGTGCCGTACATGTATATTGTATAGTATATGTATAACTGATCTAACTAGTATAGCTGTTTTTGTACACAATGGCATTCACTTGAATAATTGATCATTCATTTATTTTTGCTGTTAAGAAACTAGCATTTAGAAGTTTATTAAGCATTACGTTGGATAAACATTTCTCTATTTCTGAAGTTTTCTTTCAGCCTTTTTTAACCAATCTAGTTTGAACTGGTCTTTCGAGCACCGTGATAACTCGTACTTTGTACGTACAAGTGAACTTGAAACATCAATTTCGCCTGGAAAAATAGTTGTAATGAATGAATAGCAATGTACGTATTTTGTTACGTCCAACTTGACGTTAGAAGTGAAATACATTCTACCTTATAAGCTTTAAATAACAACACTGGTCCGAAAGTGATTGCATAATAGGCAATTTAGAAACATTGATTGAATGAATAGTCGTTTTGGAAATGGTCGTGATTTATACAAAAATTTAGCAAGAGCGGATTAAAACTTTGATGCTACATTTGTCTGTAGAAACAATTTGAATTTGTTTTCCATTGGAAGCATATGCTTGATGAACGCGAGATATTACAACATCTTCTTTCAACAGATGTATCTGTCTGTTTTGAATGAGAGCAATTTTTCATAAAATATAAGCGATTAGTCTTGGCCACTACGTATGTTTAGATAAACGAGATGAAAATCATAATGGAGGGTAACTCAGGGAGCAAGTATTAAGTATTTAGTATTGCAATCACTGCCATTGATTTGTCGATGGTCAATACCACAGGTCTGGATTTTTGGATGTTGCTAGTTTTATTTTATCACTGACAGAACGTTAGGAAACGTTTCAATCCTGCTTGTGTGGCGTTATTTAACGAAACGTAGAGGTTCATCAGGGAAATAACCGGGATAAGTTTCAGATGTCACGTTGATAGGCGGTACTGGGGTAGTAAAACAGAACTCGAAGCTAAGACGTCAACAACCACTTCAAAGTTATCATCACAAGAACCGCCTATTTTTGTTTATTATTAAAACGTAATATGGTCTAGAGGCCTAAATTATATTTTCCAAACGTGTTTTAGTTACTTCTCTCAAACATTACCTTTAGGATAAAATTTAAAAAAAATGACCAAGTGAAAGAACTATATATCTTTATCTCGGTTATACGATTTGAACTAATTCGAGCACTCGGATAATAAAAATTGTTTTTGGGGTCACTAATACAAACGTTCTATTCAGGTTGAATCCCAGTTATGTAATTGTTATTCAGGTCTAGTTTTGTGGGCGTGAATCTTTATATGCAAAGGAGGCTAGGAAAACCGACTCTTTAGGTCAGATATGAGCACATATATAATAAGGCATTATGACTTTATTTGGATGCTAGGTTTAAATTTATGACGAGAATTGCGTAATTAGTAATTTAATTGAAGTACAGAGGCGGAGTTTTTGAAATAATTTGAATTCTTATCCGCTGTCCGCTAATCTTTGGACTTGCTTGGTGCCTTACCTAATTTTATTATCATTACACAGCTAAATATCATCCGAAACTGTACCCAATTTATCCCTAAAATTTAATTTAGACCCTCCGCGGGAGATGATTGACCTATTGTCTGGCAAATTCGATTAATCCCAGAAAAGCATCAAGTGGTGTCAGACAGGCAGACCGCATCACGATGCGGGTTGGTATTCACCTCACAAAAATTATCTTTTTTGTTATGTTAATGAATGGTGACTGACCACAATGAAATTCACATTTGGATGTTTGTTATGCTAGGATCTTGTGAGGTGTTATATTAATTTAGTTCGTTCAGTTACTGAAAGAAATTATTCTTCTGCACGGAGATGCAAACCTAGTTGTAAAAACGCAAAAATAGACATTAAATTTGTATAACACTTATTATGCATATCCTATGCGCCTCATGATAAAAGGGTACTTGGTCAATATTGGCATATTTCTCCACCGAGGTATATATAGAATATTTTTCTCCACTAACTAAATATCTTGGTTAGGCTTTGGATTATAGTTTATCTAATAATTTGCTTAAGACGTTGCCGAATGGCAATACAGTCACTTCATCGTGCATTATAGAACAGTGCGTAGATTCCCATTCTAATATTCTAATCTATCAAGTAGCCTGGGACTTTCAAGCTGTCAAAATTATGGGATAAATAATCACAATCAACAATAATAATTCCATGAAATAGATCCACATTTACTTGTAGTAAAGAGTAATTATTAGTAATATTCAAACATGGATAAAGAGCATACTAGCAGTGGCAATTATAAGCCCAACAAGCCAAAGAAGATTTATATGAATGCATACATTCACTATTTACCTACAGTGTTATCATTATCGTTATTTACCACCTAAAGAAATAAACTTCTTCCAAATGGAATCCGGTAATTAACTCCGATTTCTTCGGTTAGTAATCAAAAAAGTTAGTACACCACCATGAGACATAAACTAGAACGTGACCCTCCAAAGACCAATTCATAAACTATACTTCAGCCCGGTAGTAAAAAAAAATGTTCATATCAGAAATTTTATTTTTGTGATATGATGCCACAGATCGAATCTGTAATGGACTTGATTAATGGGTAATTATTTTTATTATATTATAAACTTCTCTACGTTTATGACCCCTTCTCTAGTAAAGCAGTTCCACAGTTGTGATGGCTCTACTTAGCACAGAGGTACTCTAAGAATCACTATACACGCCGTTACAAAAAACATACCTTATAGGCAGGGAAAACCACAACACAGTGTCAAGTGTTCCCATTTCATTACATACCAGGCCAGCTGATAATATGCATATTACAAATCAGATATCCTTTTTACGCGGAAAATGTGGTCAATCTTGTTCGTGAATGTGCTGTCTATATTTCTATTTAGCCTTCTTTGGTGCACCTTTTGACATAGGCCTTTCCACTCTTCTCTGTGGTGTGCTTCTTGTTATCGCCTGTCCATCTCATTTGGGTCTCGATCTGCTTCGTTTATATTCCTAGGATCTCCAGCTTATAATAGTTTTGTTCTATCGGTCCTCTTTTCGACTTATATTAAAGCCGGCGAATCTCCATTTTGAATTTGGAACTTCACTAACGTCCATTAGATTAGTTTATTTCTAAATCTAGTTTTACGTGTAACATTTGCCTTTCCATTGTTCTTTTTTTTTATGATTTTAGCCATGTTTGCTGGGAACCATAAGTGATAACAGAGATTTATTATATACGACTACTTTGGTTTTAGGATAATATGTTTGGTGTTTGGCTTACCTTGCTGATGTTGATAATCTAACCAGATGTATATTCACCAGTGTGTTCTATTTCTTCCTGCCCGATTATCATTTTGATAGCCTCATCTGTGCTCATTGCGATTTTAGTTTTGCTATTTCTGAATAAGACCCACATTTCTAGCCTTTATGTCCAGCTTTACCAACATTTCAACCAATTCTTCTTTCTTCCCCAGTGAGAACTATACCCTATTAGTCCTAAAACGTGACGAATATTCAGGCAAAATAAATTGTCCTTAACGTTTATAAGAGCGAAATTTTAGAGCATGCCGCGACAGCGTTGCTAGGCATCGCGATGAAGAGCTTCGCCATCCAGGGGGCTTCTATATACTTCTAAAATATCTGTCTAACCACACTTCTCTCTCGTACACATTGAACTCAAGCGTCAGACAAATGTGCCTTTCATGTATTATCATGTAACCTTTATACAATTTATGAATATATTGCATATCTACGTCTTACCATCTGTGGTGGGCATCGCCCTCTCGCTATTTCCGCACGAAATACATCTCTAAATTTCTACCTGAAATCAAGCCAGCCGCCTTTCTCTATTTTCTCCTCCAGCAAGACGTTAATCTTCCTTCCAGGCATCACAGCGAGCGCTGACTCGGTAATCCGAATCCAGGTAGTGGCAGCAGTTCCTCTCTCTCTCCGACTCTGAAAATTTATGTATGCACTCTACGTTTACGTCGGGCCCAGGCTATGCCGGGTTGAATATCACATTCGAATCTCGTTAAACGAGTCTAATAATCAGGCAAGCGAGGAAGATCTCAGCGTAGTGCACGTCCACCGCAAAGGTAGATCGAAACGTTGGGAGAAAACAGAGAAAGAGTTCGGAAATGGCTGAATCGGGGCTTAGACAGTGTGACGAATCCGTTAAAGTATACATAACTTGTCATATGAAGCTTCTAAAACCAGAGCATGGTGATTAATATTACAGCGTCGACCAAGCAGTGGTTTCCTTTAACCGTAAAAATTTTGCGGCAAGATTTATCTTCTACTCCCCCCGCTACTGGTGAGGAATTGTTGTGATCG